GCATGGATACATAATTTTGTCCACAAAAATATCATAAATATAATATTTTGAGAATCCATAACTTTGGAGGACAGCAGGCTATTACTAATATTTTTAAAAAATGACTTCTCACAAGAAGAAAAGCACAGATGGGATTTAACACTCAGAAAGCCACTGAGTTCGTTTTTTTGGATTACAGTGGCACACACAGTACCAGGTTTATTAAAAAAAAAAAAGGGTGGAGATTTTTTAGGCGTGTGCTCCCTCTCACTCCTGTTCACTGTCCTCCGGATTCCTGCAGGACTCCAGAGTTGCGAAGAGCCCATGCAAAATGTAATTAAATGTGTCTACTTTTACTACCAGATGTGCTGTCAGTGGCGGCAAAAGTTGCCGACTTCTCATCCACGATTACGTCACTTCCGCCGCCTAATACCCAGGAAGTATACTAGCACTAACCGTGTAGAGTGCTGACGGAGAGCACCGGAGCGCCGCTCCAGCTCTTCAAATAGTGGCGATCTGTTGTTATTAGCATCTGGTTAGCTAGCTATGCTAACGATTCGAATATAAACAGCTTTTTCTACAACCAGGTGGAAGATTGTTCTCTCCTTACAGACTGAGAGGCTCAAATAACCTCAGCTCAGATCATTATAGTTATAAAAATATATAAAATGATGTCACATGGCTATGACCATTTTGTGGCAAAAAAATAAAAACATTGGATGAGTTATGAGAAATACTACTTTTTGTGATTGGTTTTTATTTAGTTGGTTGAGTTTAGAAGCTCATGCAATGATTTCCTAAGAATATTCCCTGGTGTTAGAACATGTGAAATTAAAACAATCCCTCTCTGTGTTAAGTGTCTTTGCTTTTATTTTGTTGTAGCCAGTGGACGAGCTGCGGACTGTGGTGTTTGAGATTCTGAAGAGAAAGGAAGGGATCCAAGGTAGTTGGCAAATTAGCCTTATTTGTAACCACTGTCTTTTTCACCATTCATATTATTTATGATAGCATCAATGAGCTGTGTTGCATTGTTTACATTGCACACATTTGAATCAGTAGATCATTTGGCCTCATGATGTAGGCAGCTGATTATCGTCTCGTACGTTCCATATATTGTGTCTCACTCAATTCACCCATGTAGCACGGCTGTGTGCTTTATCAAAAATATATGTTTTTCATGTATTTTGGTTTCATGATGGGGCAGCTTAGTTTGACATTATTTGGAAAGAAAACTGTTGTTTATTGTATTGTTACCATTGTGTTGATATAGCCAAACACATCTGTGTTACAGTAAAGGCACATGCCACAAAATGTAAGCGCCACGCCAGTCTTTTTCAAGACGGTCAAAGAAACTATAACAGAGAATTAATTTTGCCAAAGCTTTTTCAATTTAAACTTCCTTCTGCTGACTTTTCTGTGGCAGAAAATATTGCTGTCTGAGAAATAGGACTATGAACTTCAGTCAAACCTTTCAATCGATATCAGTTAGTGCAGACTAGATAATAAAAACAAATCAGAAATTACATCCTCCAAATCTGAATCTGTATTGTAATATTAATACAGTGTAAACTTGCACTACAGATATGCCGCTTGTGCCTTTTTTTTAAGTATCCTAACATGAAGTACTTTATGTTGAAAATAAATTCAAATTTTGATATTTTTTCTGAAGCAAATGAGAGAGAGGCGGACCAAATTCAAAACGAAGTCACTCCTGAGAGTATCGACATCCCGATGACTCCTCAACCTGTCAGAGCCCTTATCTATGGAGAGAGAGGAGACTCATCAGTGGTCAAGTACAAGATCACAGCAACGCCTGGGTATGTGGGAATCATCATTTTGACTTTCAGAAACGCTGTGGAGCATTACTGACCCCTTTTATGACTGTGCAAGCGCTAGCCAATCAAACCGCGTGTACTGTATGCAGATACCACTGCGGTCTTATCCATATGTCATAAAATGGAGGATAAATTAATCATCGCTGTAGGAAATGTCCCGGTCCTTTACGACTGCTCTCTGTTCACCTACCGGGACCTAAACCGGAGGAACCAGGCATGGAGGGAGGTGGCAGAGACAGTTGGTGAAACTGGTAGGTTTTCACCTGTTTGGGGAGTTTATATCCAGTTTACTTTGTTTTAACATTGAATGGACAGGCTTTGTATGCCGGGTGCGGGCGGGAGATTCCTGGGAGATTCCTGATTGGTTGTTGGGCGCGTGAAATCGCCAAGCTTCAGACACGCCCAGCATCAAGATTTTTTTCATGCCTGTGTGTGGACGGGCCGTTAAGCTTGTGTTGACTACAGATTGTATTTCACGATTCTAGCCAAAAAACCTTTTATAAAGACATTGCCCTCAAGACAAAGTGATAACATTTATAGCACCACTCTAAAGTGCCCTTGTTCCCCCCCGCCCCCCTGGTGTTGAGCCATGCCTTTGCTTGCCCTGATGCTCTACGTGCTTGTCTGACCTCTCCGTGGCACCTGTCAGATATGCCAATGGATAGTGGGCGTGGAGGAAGAGATAGGGTGATAATGGAATTATACTGACAGCACGCACACATGGCTGTTACTGCACCTGTTTGATGGCAGTTGGTTTAGAGTCAGCTCAAAGACAACAAAAAAAATTTCCATATGACTTTCAGAGAAATTAAAGTGATTTCGCCCTGAAGAAGGGAGTGACTGTCGTGTCTCATCTAAATCTTGTCTTTCCCGACAGTCTCATTAACATGACATGACATGTTTTAGTTTTAAAGTGGGCAACAGTAGACTCATTCACAAGTGAGTGAATGATATGCAGACTTGGAAAGGGCTGGAGTAGGAGAAAACTGATTCTGGGCCAGCTTGATCTTGTGAAGTGGCTTTAGGTGCAAAAGAAAGTAAGGCCGGACGATATATCCATACATTTTCAAACAAGACATAGTAAAAGGTTTGGAACCCAATACGAACTGCCCCCTTCCAACTGCCACGCTGTCTGTGGTCTCACTCAGAGCTGAGTGAGGCTCCCTCCTTTAGGGGGAGGGGTGTAAATACAGTGTCAGGCTTTGGGACCAACTCCCCTCTCTCCGACAGAAACAGGAAACGCTGTAACTTTTCGTAACAACTGCTCCAAATCATCACTTCTTGGACAATAATATATGGGAATTGGCAGATAAACAGCAATGAAACTTGAGAATAGCAAATCATTTATCAAGTTCCTTCAAAACATTACTATGAGTCTCACAGCCTCAGTCATAATCTATTGATATACAAATGGGTAAATATTTAAAAAAAGAAAAAAAAGGGATATATTAAACATTACAAAAGCATCTTTGTGCAAAAATTATGGAAAATTCCANATTTCTGACAACAAACTTTATTTATAAAAACAATGTTCCAACCCAAGATCTACATGAGGTAAAGCTTAAAGGTGAGGTTTTACCTGATAATGATCTTATGACAAACACATTTCTCAATAAAGTAAATAGCAAGTTAAAGGACAGTGTGTTTCCAACACTTTTCACAGCCTAATGGCAGACAAGTTGTGTAAAGGCCCAGATACACCGGCCAGTCACCTGAGAAGTCGCCGACGCCGACACCGACTGTTGCGTCGCCGGACTCTCCTGCGTAATTGCCGACTTCGCGCACTGGAACACACCGCAAATCCGAGCCGAGCACGTATGAACTGCGTATGCGTGAGTGGCAATAACTCTCCTTACCAGCAGGCGGTAGTGTGTATTCATCATTCAAAAGAGGCAACAACCGGAACAACCGGAAGACAGAGAAGAAGAACAGACTCCGTGATATAAACAAACAACAAATAGCGTTTTTCTTTCCATTTTCACTCTCGTCCATTGAAAACATGAACGAACAGGAACTCTATAAACCAATGAGGTGAAATAGCCGTCCGTGTGTGTTCCATCTTCCATTTTAAATCATTTGTTTACCTCCCTCACTTCCGTTAATGCTTCTCATGCACTGATTCGCTAGCTGAACAGCCAATCAGTGTTATCCCTTTGTCCGACTTCCGGTGGTGTTCCTGACGCCGATTCAACATGTTGAACCATCAAAATACAGAGCGAAAAGTTTAACCACAAGAATCAAGACAATATGAGCTACCACTAAACAACTCAGTCTGAAAATTACCATTTAAAAAAAAAAAAAAAAACTGGACTTTTAGCTTTAAGCATCGTTTTAAGGTGAAAATGTTTCATTTTCAAATGTGCGCTCCCGTGACAAGGGGAAGGGGTGCATTTCACGGCAGGGGTACATAATTTGGCACAACACCGGCAATGAAACACAGATTTAGAATCGTGATTAAATTATAAGACTAGTATGTCTGTAAGAAAAAGGACAGGCATGTAATAGTGCCTAAATTAAAAGGAACATTTAACATCATTTGACTTAATGAAAAAATGGGTTGTTAGTGCAAATAAAGGGCAACGCTGCTTCTAGTTAGGCTGGATTTAGTGATTTTCAGAGAAAAATAATGTTATTTTGTATCAGATTATTTTTCTTATTATTTTTTATATAAATCCTCTGTTCAATATGTTATCAGATTGTAAACTAGGTATCTGATGTTCAACTAATCAAATAAATTAACCAATTGTTTAAGCTTTAGTATGCTGCAGGAAATGTAGATATTTCGCTAGAGTGAACATTTAGGTTTATTACCGACCTGCAGCCAGATGCCAGCAAGTGCCTACTCAGTTCCTATTTTGCATGGTTGGTGAAAATTAAAGTTCAATTAAAGCTATATATATATATTTACACACAGGTAGAGTCACTGAGATCCCAATATATTTTAAAAAGGTACTTGTGTACAAAAATATAAACGCATACATTTCTAACATTAGTGGGCATACTGATAATTTCAAGACATACATTATTCTTATGTATGCAGACATATATATTTAATGCTACAGTTTGTGGCCTTCATATTTTTGGTTCGAACACTACACATGCATATTTAATATGGAATAAATGTATAGGTTGAGTATAATGGAACAAGACCAATGCTGAATTCCGGTTTAATTTGTTTTGTCACAGAGCTGCGTAAGCAGAAGCTGATGGAATACTTGGCAGGAAAAGGAAAGCTGAAACCGCCCAACCCTAAGTAAGAGAAACAACACTGCAAGACTCACAATGTGTCCATCAAATGTTATTTTTATTTATTTGATACATGATGAACTCAATTTGACTTCACAGGCCATACCTCCGTGATGACTGCCAAGTTAAGAATCCTATCATGTCTACACAGGTGAGTGTAGGAGATTGTTTATTTAACTTGTTGGAGAAATTCCAACTACTCATCCCACAAGACTCCAAACCCTTATTTGCCTCGTTTAAGTTAAATGATTTGAACCTTTTTTATTTGTGGCTGACTTTACCTTGTTGGTGAAATTGCAACCCCACCTATTCTAACAGAATCAAACCCTTATTTGCCTCTTTTAAATTAAATTAAATTATTTGAATATTTGGGGCTGACTTGGCTATCATCCATGTCTCACTATTGTTTTTTCTAATCATTTTGTTGTTTTACAGGTTGTTAATGGAAAAGAGAACAAGGCTCCAGCTGACAGATTAAGATATGAAAGTACAAAAAGTCAAAACACTCAATCCGCAAAACATCCGGCCAAAGGTGCATTTGGTATCGCAAACAAGGTGAATGTAAAAGGCAAAATCCTGACTGTACGACAGAATACCAATCGTCCATCTGCAACCTCTGGCGTTGCACAGGCAAAACTTAAACAAAACCCTGTGCTGACAACAACGTACAATGCTGTATCCTCCAAATCCAACCTTATCGCAGCCAGCCACCTCAAAAAGCAGCCAAACACCAGAAAACCGCCTTCAGCCAAAAACTCAGTGAGTACAGCTGTAACAAAATCAAACAGCAAATTTGGCGGCAGCTCGAATGCTACCTGGTCATGTCAAATGAAGACAAACAGCGTCAGGATGAGTCTTGGCCCTATGGTCAAAACAAAAACTGGACTCATTCCTACAGTGATTCAGCCAAGAAACAGTCAGAATTTAACACACACCTCTTCAACAGCCGCTCATACGAACACCGCCACCACAGCTTCTGTTGCTAACAAGGTGAGATCCAGCACCTCATCATCAGTTTCCGTTTCCCAGAGGTCTGACCTGGCTGAGAGGAGAACACTACCTACCACTGCTCTAAATAACACAGAGAGAACAAGAGCTGGATTTCGAATTCAAAATCAGAACATGACTAACTCTAAACCACTTTTGGGTAAACCGCCATCTTATAAGACTCAGCTATCATGTGGACTGAAATCAGTGTCCACCTCCTCCAAATACGCAGCTATTAGACCAGAAGGGAGAGTAGGGATGTCAAAATCTGTTAAATCGAGTGGTCAACCTACAGTCACTTCCACAAAGCAGACAGGGCAAAGAAAGGGCCAACAATGCAAAGTCGTCCCCCCTACAGTCATAGGGGTTACAAGAGCTGCTGTGGCTGAGCTGGCAGTGAAATCTAAGACATGCAAAAAGACAGATGATAAGAAGGGACACATTTCAGCAAATGCCCCTCCACCACAAGCAGGTTTTAAAAGAACAAGCGCTCCAGTGGTGTCCCAGACAGTGCCACGGGCTGGTAGGACCATCAGCCACACCAATCAGGCCACACTCACGAAGACTCCAAAGTTCCCGGTCAGGGTCATTCCCCAGACGGAGGGAAAAAAACTGACTGCTGCCCAGGAGGAACGAATGTAAGTAGGATAGTACGATGACCTGTAAATCTACCTGACCTGTAAATCTATATCATGAAACTACCATACTGTAGTTGACAGTGAGAGTATGGCTCATGACTTTGATATTTTGCCGCGGCAAGAGGGCTGCAATACCTCAGTTCTTCATGTGTGCTACTCACACGGTTGTGTTTTGTAAACTCAACCCTCACTGAAGGCTCCTGTTCAACAAGTGCTCACCAGTGGGTGTAAGCAAATCTCAAGTCACCCCCCCTTGTTTTAAAACTAGCTATGCCTGTTTGGTGTTTTGCCCTGCTTCATGTAGAGTAGCTCTCCCTTGAATTTGTGCTTTTGTTAAACCTCTTTATTTTAAATCCTACTAACTGTGCATTTGAAGATAATGGCCTTTTGGCTGCATTTTAACAATGACTTGTACAGTTATCTGGGTACTGTTAGACTTTTACTACATCGGGGCTAAACCTGAGTGTTCGATTAAACATTCTTTCTTTTTTTCTTTTTCTTGCAATTCAGGGATTACATTTTTTGTCATTATCTTATGTCACACCAGGCAAAAATAATCTGAGAAAACACAATAAAGGGATAAATAATAAAACATTAAAACAAAGGGTGAAGACCAAAAGTAGAATATGTGTTGACAACATAATCAACAGCGTTTTACAGAAATATAGCAAACGGTTTGTCCGATTACATCTCAGGGCGTGTACTTTCTTTGTTTCCCAAGTGATCAAATCTGTAGGGGTGGGCGATACCAAGTATTTCAGGGCCAGTATCGCCGATACCGATACTTTTTAAAAATGAAAAGCTTCTTATGTACTTTCATATAGGGGAGAGCTGCATGACATGATTTTTGAGCTGAATGCATCATAAATGGACTAAATCTGAATTCATTTTCATGAATAAAGACAGGACAGTTTTTATAGACAAATAAACACATCACAGTTCGCTAAGTTTTCATTGAGTTGTGAAATAGCTCCACACAATGCTCCTCTTTCTCTCAGCCATCATGCGCATGTGTGTATCGCACTCGCGAGTTGCTGGTGGCTGCTGTCCTGCCCTGCTGGCTGCTGTCAGTCAGCTTGATAATCGGCATTCAGACAAGGAGCGCGCTGCGCGTGGGCGAGCCTCGAGGAGAGAACAGCAGTGGAGAGAGAAGAAAAGAGCGCATATACTTGTGTTCGTCTACACATATTTTTTGATGAAATTGACGAGTAGAGGAGAGGGGGGAAAAAAAGTATAAAAGTATCGATCCTAGTGGCTCTAGTATTGATATTTTTGAAACGTAACATAATATATTTTGGGATCGATCTGCCCACCCCTAGTGGACAGAGACTTTTTAGTCACAATTCTCTGGATGTTACAAACATTACTAACAGGATGTATTTTTATCATGGGAATAATTTTTGGCTGCCAAATACAGCTAAAGAAAGATCAAAATATCAATTTGGGATGAGATCAATTTCAGATCAGCTGGTATGGGAAGATTACAAATATCCCCATCAATGTTTCCATGTCCCGACCCAATCTGAGCTAGTGATCATTCTTATTTGAATGATAGTGATGAAATGCACATACACCATGATGTCAATGGATCCTGTGGACACACCACCAATCTGACAGCATCAACAGGCCGCTCAAAAATATGACTGATCCACATCAATATGAAAGTATCCTCTGACAACTATATATATTGTTATCTTTGTCAAATAGAAGTCGGAAACTAGATAAAAGCAGACTCAGCGTGCTTAAGCAAGTTATACAAGAAGATGATTTTCATAAAAGGCTGATCTGTTCCTTTACATTTGTGTAAAAGTCCAGTTTCCCCTCATTTGTCCTTGGACTTCTGTCATTCCTCTTCCCTTGTTTTATGTGCTCTCCAATGAAGTATGAAATGTGTTATCTAACCCTACCCTATTGTTTGATTTAAAGGAAAAAGCTGCAAGAATGGCGGGAAGCTAAGGGTATTTCCTACAAGCGTCCCCCGATGCCGGTGAAACCTGCGGTCAGGCTCACTGTCGCCATGCACCAGCCTTTCTGGGGCCCCATGATTGAGGAAGACGAGGTCCATTCCCTCATCTCTGCCGTGGACAGATCCCTGGCTGACTGCATCATATTGCTCGCAAAGGTACACGGCGCAGGAATTTCCTTCTCTTTGGTTTCCATGGCCTTCTTTAATGGTGATGTAATCTCCCACTGCACATTCCCATGGAAGTTATATGTTGGTGGAAATATGCATTGACTTAGTTTGATGGGCTTTGAATGAGGCTCTATGGCAAATGATTAAAAATAGATGTAAAGTGGTGGTGGATTAAAAAAAGGCCTTGTTTAAAAGCAAGCCATTCACAGCCAACATTTTTGGCGGGCTAAAGACCTGCTATTATTATACAGAGGGCTGATGATTGTTAAACAGCCTCAAACCCCTTTACTTTATTTCTTTATAAAGTAGGATATGGCTCAATTTCTTATAGGTTAACCTTTTTCTGATATGCTCCTCTCGTCCACAGGGCTGCCCTCCGGAGCAGGTGAAGGGGGTCCTCTCACGGCTGCCGGCTGTGTCCAAGAAGTTTGCCAAATACTGGATCTGCCAGGCCCGTCTGATGGAGCAGGAGGGCAACATGGAGGTCCTGCCAATGTTCGAAGAGGCTGTTGGCGTTGTGCTGGAGGTAAGACGTCAATGATATTCAATCGAAACTAATATTTTACCCAATCATTTTTTGTCATCAAATATGCCCCTAGGAGTTTTCTTGTAAACACACTAGGGCTGTACCCGAATATTCGGTCGTTGCCCTACTATTCGGTTTTCAATTTCGTTATTCGCTGCACTGCGGCTGCCCAATTGAATTTACTGAAATGTCCAATATCAACGTAAGAGCTTGTGTCTCTTCGGGGGGTGCTAACACTTAACCATCAACTGTATCCTTTACTTTTCTCATGCATGCGAATGGCGCCTCCCGCTTTTTAACGCTAAAAGCAATCCCAAAATACTCTTGTCAGAACTTATCTTACATTATGGGAGTTTATTGATACTGCAACATCTAGTCAGCATATGCAAGATATATTAGAAGATCGTTATAAAATTGAAAACACTTTTTTAGCACTTACTAAATAAAACTGGTCTTCATATCCAAATGAAGGCTTTTGTCATTCACTTTTCAATCATTTAGTTCAAATAATCAAATGAAATCTTATGTAGTGACCCTATTGTGATCTGTTTAAGTACCAATACTGGCAATGAGTGTGGTGTGTCTAACAGTTCAGTGTGTATCATCAGTCATAATTCCACATGGTTCAACATCTGATTGTACACTGTTAGATACAAGATGTGCTGTCTATTAATGGAAGATTAATGAGGTAAACAGAGAGTATGGCTCTTATAAAATGATGTCACATAGCTATGACCATTTTGTGGCAAAAAAAGAAAAACATTGGATGAGTTATGAGAAATACTACTTTTTGTGTTTTTATTCAGTTGGTTGAGTTTAGAAGCTCATGCAATAATTTCCTAAGAATATTCCCTGGTGTTAGAACATGTGAAATGATAAAGTCATACATCTGTCTCCCGCTCTGGAGTGTTTTAAGCATGGGGTAATCACTGCCTGAGTTCAAATAAGATTTAATAAACTCTCCGGTAGCAATTCACTGTGTTTAAAACAAGGGGGGGGGGTTTGCCTTCATTGACTGGAAGCAATACTTCTGCACTTACCATTTACTCTAAAACGCTTGGAGCCCATTCAGTCAACATTTTTGAGTGTGTTTTTAGAAAGCAAGGGAATTTCAACATTCACAGATTGAACTGTCCATCACTGCATAGTTCAGCTTTTGATATGACTCCTGTCAGCTTGATCTGTTGGCATGCGATCATAATCAAAGGTGAATGCATTAGTCTGACATTTAAAAAATCCCTCTCTGTGTTAAGTGTCTTTTATTTTGTTGCAGCCAGTGGACGAGCTGCGGACTGTGGTGTTTGAGATTCTCAAGAGAAAGGAAGAGATCCAAGGTAGTTGGCAAATGAGCCTTGTTTGTAACCACTGTGTGTTTTTCACCATTCATATTATTTATGACAGCATCAATGAGCTGTGTTGCATTGTTTACATTGCATACATTTCAATCAGTAGATCATTTGGCCTCTACGATGTAGGCAGCTCAATATCGTCTCGTACGTTCTAGGGCTGCTCGACTATGGCGAAGATAGCATTTAGATGCGCAGCTCCACTGTCTTGGAATAGTCTGCAATTGAAATGGAAACTGAGCAATCTGGTGCCACTAAATGTTTTTAAAGCTCGGTTGGATGCTACTCAATCGGAAGCTGCACATGTGGATAGTTATGTAAATTGTAAACCCTGTAATGATGCTGTATGATGTCNTCCTCTCTGTGAGGAGCAGCAGGTTCAGCTTTCAGAACAAAGTAACAAAAAACTAAAATGGCATTCATTTTTTTAAATATGTCGTGTAGTAATAGATTTATTTATTTTTCTTCTCAAGAGAGCACCAGAATGTGTATTTCATGTTAGTATTTCAAAAAATCTCCTGGGGGAGTAACTAGTAATGCGCCTACTAATTGTATTGTTTTGTAATTTTAAATAAACACTTTTATTGGCAAAATAACTCAAATAAATAAGTGAAATTCTAACTTTTTACACAACTTTAAAGAAGTAGCAGATAAAAAAAATATGTTCAACCATTTTTGCTAGAGGGTGTTTAGTGGGAGAATAATGTGACTATATGTTATCATTGTCACCATTGTTAACAGTGATATTATATACTTTAAGTACTTATTGTATTCTTTTCTAATATCAAGAAAATACTTTGATTGGTAAAATGTATTTAGAAAAAAGTACATTTTAAACTTTTTAGACAACTTAGGAAACAAGCTGCACATTTTCTTTAAAAGATGCATTTATTGTTAACAACTAAATGTGTCTCAACTGTTTTCTAACTTTACAATTCCCTTTTCTTTCAGATGGATGTGAACTATGCGTTTTTTGAGAACAGTACTGACAACTTTTCAGAGGATTCTGGAGACTTTGGAGATGAGCCATGTGGCCGAGCGCTCAGCAGCAACCTCAGCAAGATCTTCCTGCCGACCATTGACGGAATTATATTCGTCCTCGGAGTCATTGGCAATGAATTAGTGGTAGTTGTCATGGGCT